TGGTGCGGGCCTGCCTCCCATTCCTGGGCCTGGTGCGGGCCTGCCTCCCATTCCTGGGCCTGGTGCGGGCCTGCCTCCCATTCCTGGGCCTGGTGTGGGCCTGCCTCCCATTCCTGGGCCTGGTGTGGGCCTGCCTCCCATTCCTGGGCCTGGTGTGGGCCCTGCCTCCCATTCCTGGGCCTGGTGTGGGCTGCCCCCAAATCAGACACAAGTAATCTGCTTGAAAAGATGTAGACCTCATTTTAGTGGTTCTTGGGTCTGAACTCAGGGCCTCACACGAGACAGGTGCTCTACCACTTGGGCCGTGCGCCCAGCTCTTTGTTTTCATCTTTCATATACAGTTTCAAGCATTTGCCCAGGGCTGGGCTCAGACTTGATCTTCCCGGAGGTTACAGAAGTGTGCTATCAAGCCTGACGCTTTTCAGAGCTGCTTCCGTTTTAACTATCTGCGGAAGCATCCTTTAACCCTCTCCCACAGCTAAGGACAACGGCCAGCCCAGCCTGCGCATTGAGGCTGGACAGGAGGTGCAGACCAGCCTGTGGCTCTGAGTTCCCATCCAGGACACGGGCCTGGCCCTCCCCCTGAGAACTTAGGCAGAAGGAAGCCCCAGAGGCCGTGTCCTGGGCCTGGGCACCTACAGCACCGAAGAGGAAAAGCAAGGGATGCTGGGCCAGGGTGGGAGAGGGCCCCGAGCAAGTCGAGAGGCATGAGGCTCAGGGGCTGCAGTGGAGGGGAGTGCAGTGACCCCATCCTTCTGCTTAGAGCCACAAGGGACACGAAGGGCATTTCACAGACACCAAGATTAGGACATGATGGACAGGCAGGCGTCCGCTGCTCTGCTGCGGTGGCTGGGCTCCTGGGAGCTCTGATGACTGGGCCTGTGGATCTTTCCTGCCGCCCAATGGTGCATCCCAACCTGCCAGTTCCCAGGCCTCCACACCACAGCCGTGCGGAGCGCAGTGTTGCGAGGCCCTCCTCTGCCCGAAGCGCCTTCCCCACAGCACAGCGCTGCACGGGCTGTGCGTGGCAAGCAGGGCCCCTGCCCAGAGCCCTTCGCAGTTCAGACGGCAAGGCCCTGGAGTGAGCCTGTGCACCCAGAAACCACTCTGCTGGAAACTGCGATCGGAGTGGAAGAGGAGCTCAGCGGCAACCTCAGCCCCCGGAATCTCAGCCTGGGGAGGCGGAGGTGGCTGGGCCGGCCCCCTGGCAAGAGCTCCTGGACCCCCAGAGCAGGGCCTTTCCAGAAAGTTGGGCTAAAGGAGCCTGGAGCCGGGGCTCATGGGAGACAGGTCCTCCCTCCCTGCTCAGGCCCTGACTGCTCAGGAGGCAGCCACTGGCAGGTCTCCCTTGCTGGGACCCAGGGCCCCAAGCTCAGGCACTGTGATCCTTTGATCCTCCACAGGAAGGCTCCCCCACCCCCACCCCAGGGCCTGGACAGGTGCCAGGGGCCCGCCCACTGGGATGCATAATTCAGCCCAGAAACCCTCACGTTTGCTTCTGAAGAAAAGATCCCAGTCTCTGGTCTCTGCACCCACTCCTGGACGATGCCGACCTCTGCCCCAGCCCCCTAACTCACTGGGAGCAGGCCTTCTTGGGGGCCCCTGGGAGGAAGGGTGGATTCAGGACCCAGCTCAGAGCAACCACTGAGAGACCACAACATGACCACCAAGGACTGTGGTGGGGTCCAGCTCCCTGGGCCTGAGCTTCTCCCAAGGGGAGAGCTGTTACCTCCTGGTTCTCAGGACAAACCCAGGGAGGACTGGCCAGCAGCTGGGCACTGGTGCAGTGAGCGCTGGAGAGCCCCTCTCAGGATTCACGCAGTCCCACCGTGACTTTTAAAGGTCCCCAGGACCCCTGGAGGGGAGGCTCTGATGGTTTGATCCTTGTAAGATTTTCTATGGGGAAAGTGCCCTGCTATGAGACCTGAGAACTATGCCCTGGGCTGCCTGGAGCAGCTGCCCACACGAAGCATGGACAATCGCCCGGCCAGCAGAGATGGTGCTCCATGTCCAGGCTCTACTGAGGGCCCGGCAGCTGGCCACCCCTGGCCATGCTGCAGCCTCAGAGTCCTTCCTGAAGGGCACGGTGTCCATAACCCAGAACATTCAGGAGAACCAGGGACAAACGAAGCTGCCAGCATTGTCTCTGGGTTCTGAGCAGACCAGGAGACAGAGGCCTGTCCAGCAGGAGCACAGAGCGGGCGTCCCGCTGGCCAGGGGGCTGCTCTGCCCAGGGAGCTCAGGGGTCAACCAGAAAGCCTGGAGGGGGCCGGAGATGGCGGGAAGCAGGCTGGAGGCGTGGGTCAGCGCCCCGGGCGACAGCGAGAAGCCCACCACTCAGAGGAGACCCGCAGCACAGACGTCTCTTTTTTTATTCTTCTTCATAGTTAAAGAAAGAACAGAAGACCATGTTTCCTTCTTTCCTTTTCTTTTTGGTCTTTGAAGTGGCAGAGGGGAAAGGAATGGCTGCGGGGCAGGGAGGCCTCTCCTCCCAACCTCCACCCGCGTGATTCACGCCCGCCTTCACCCTTCCTCCCCAAAGCACTGGAAACTCATAGCAGCATCTCCCACGTGGCCTGGCAGGCTGGGGTGCCCAGGGGACCCTGCTCTGGGAGGAGTGTGGGTGACACGGGCAGGCCCCTCGCTGGATGCACAGAGACCCCATGCCCCGGCTGGGAAGGACAGCCCACACGTGCAAGTTGGCGTCTCCCGCCGGCACGGCAGGGGGAAGAGCAGAGCAGAGCAGCCCGGGCCCTGCCCGGCACGCTGCCCCACGGCGGGCCACGGCGGCCCCACGCAGCATGGGGACGGTCCAGCCCGGAAGCTGCCAGTCCGGCACAGGAAGTAGCAAGCATGTCACGGACGTCTGGGCTGTTTCCTGGCCAGAGACGCCATAGCCTGAGGCACAGGAACAGACACACAGCCAGGAGGAGCCTGTCCGGGCTGGCCCCTCTCGGCACGCACCTGCTCCTCCAGGGCACTCACGCCAGGCTGACCACCGGGCTCAGCATGTGTCTGCACGCAGCCTGCCAGAGGCATGAGGGGCCCTCACAGAAGTCAGAAGTTCAGGATAACAGCTGCACCTCATCGCCGGTGACCTTGGAGAAAACAGAGGACAGAGGTTACCTCTGGGGCAGTGGAGGACAGGCCCCTCGGGGCGGCCAGCACCAGGCCCGAGTCCATTGCAGTCACTCAGCCTCTCCTTTGAGCTCTGTGGCTCACTGGGGAGCCCGAGGGCCCCCAGCCCACCGATCCCAGTGCCTCACTCCGCCCTGGGTGCCAGGCGCTGCGCGGGTCTGAGGTGGCTGAGGCCTTGGGCCACAGGGTCCCGGCCACGGCAGGACTGGACAGGGGCGTTGGGGACAGCCTCTGGCTGGCGTCCTCTGCCACGTGCTCACTGTGCAGGAGACCCATGGTGACTATGGGGGCCTCTCATGCACCTGAGGGCTGGGGACCCCAGAAAGGACCTGGCCCCCAGCACAGGGGCGTGGACAACCCAGAGACCCATCTGCCATCCCCAGCGCAGGGAGCCCCAGAGTGGGAAGGACAGGAAAGCAGAGGGGAGGGGGGGAGAGAGAGGAGGGGGAAAGAGAGGGGAAAAAGAGGAGGGGGGAAGAGAGAGAAAGAGGGGAGGGGGAGGGAGGGTACACTGGTGTGTGCGTGCATACTCGTATGCGGCTGGCACACGATGCAGGCGCTCTGGCTGCTCCAGCCTGCCCAGTGAGCACTGGGAATAGTGAGCAATAGCTAACGAGCACGTCTGAAGCCTCTGCTTCGGAGAAGCTTGTCAGCAGCATTGCACTAAAAGGAATACCTCATGGGGATGAAGGCACTGAGGCTTCTGAGTGCCAGGATGGACAGAGACGCTCAGGAGGCAGAATGGGAGGGGGAGACCCATGCCGAGGACCAACAGTTGGACCAAAATAGGTTTGTCGCCATCTGCACCGCTGGCCTGCAGCTGAACACTGAACCGCCCCTCAGCCAAGGTCGGCTTCTACGTCCTGATGCTGGGCCAGGAGGGAATCTAAGAACGCGAACCACCTCCTTCCACAGGAAGAAGTCCACAAGTAGCATCCAAACCCAAAGAATCTAGAAACAGCCTTCCGTCACGTAGTACGGTTCATACTACTCGTGGGCTTGAAAAACGGAGCTACATATAACACCGACACAGTCAAAAAGGAAAAGGACTCGTGTTAGAACATCTTTCTGACAGGCAGAGCCTTCCTGCCACACCCTGGGGAACTCTGAGGCAGGGAGGGTGAAAGAGAGCCTCCAGGTCTTTCCGGAGGGGCCGCCACCAGGCTCCCACCCCAGCAGTCTCCCCACCCCAGCAGGCGGGGCTCGGCGCCCCCATCCTGACCAGCTCTTCCACACACCGCTCACGGAATGCAGGGTAGGGGATGACCACAGTCCCACTCCCCCTCCAGTGTGGTGGACATGTGGCAGACCTAACACAAGGCCTCACTGGCTGCTGGACATCCAAGCAGGGTGGACAGTCCCTGTAGGGCTCCCGGGGGCTGGAGCGGAGGCATGAGGAATACCATAGGGTCCCCGAGACCAGGAGTGCCGGGAGGTGGCAGAGGGTGCCCCAGCCAGCCAGGATCTGCTCAGGTCAAAACCTTGACCCAGAAGAGGCCTACCAGGTGTCACGGAAAACAGATGTAAGGTTACCCCTTGCTTGGTGACACTTGCATGTTATGGGGTGAAAAGATGGCTGGACTCCACACAGCAGTCTTCTGGCACACAGAGCATGTTGCACCCAGCATAAGGTAGAACGGGCTGGGCACTGGAGGGCAACGTGACCATCCCTTCCCGTGTCTCCCCGGTGACCCATACTCTAGACATAGTGGGTTGTGAGCTAGACTCTCCTCAAGCACAGCATGAGGCCATCTCGGGGCCCAGGCCTGGCTGGCGGGGAGCGCTGCCCGGCCCCCCACATGGCCAGCACACAGGCTGTCCTGTCTTGGGAAGTACACCCAAGACTCGGTCTACCCAGGTGATAAGGACAGGCACTGGGGGGTGATCTCTCAGAAAGCAAGCCCATCTGGGCATCACAGCTGGTGGTGTGTCTGGGCCCACCCTGCTCCAGGGAGGCTGGGCCAGGGCACTTGTTGGCCTCATTTCCCAGGACACACTGTTTGTGAAGAAAACAAAACAATAAACTCCCTGGACTCTGACTTGAAACTCCAGCTACTGCTGCCCAACCTGTTTGTCTGAGCTCACGGGACTGCCCGAAGGCCGGGCCGTGGGTGTGGGGGGACATTCTGAACATGGAAGGCTGCCTCCCCTCTGAAGACCAGACAGGAGTGGACACACATCTCCTCAGTGCCCCCCGGGACAGCTGTCGAGACCCTTTCCTACCCCTCCCTGCCCAGGAGAGGCAAGGGAGGGCATGGAGGCCACCAGAGGGAAGCCATGCTCTGGGCATGCCCAGTAAGTGAAAGATGAGCCGCCAGCCTGGCGTCTTGCTCCGAGGAAGGGCCAGGAGGCCCAGCAATGCAGGCAGGGAGACCGGGGTCGCTCACAAGCTCCGACTTCGCCCAGGGCCCCTCTGCAGGCTAGGACAAGGCACCCCGTCCCCGGGGTGTGGCCTGGGTCTGAGAGGGCAGCCACAGACACTGAGGTATGGCTGGACTAGGGCTTCACTCCCGGTGGCTCCCCAGACAGCTGGACGTCAGGGAGAGCTGAGCAGAAGCAGCCCGGCCTCCACTGCAGGGATCAGACATGAGGTCGCCTCACGCCGTACACACCCCAGCTGCCCTGCTCCCTGGGGAGGGCAGGAAAGCACCCAGGACACCCCGCCCCACCCACCGAAGGGCACCCTGGACGGTAGCAGCCCCTTCCCAGCCATGCCAAAGCCCCGACTCAGGGCTCCTGGGAAAATGTCCCTGCAGCCAAACACTCATGACGCCAGTTCACGGCTTACAGCACCATGTGTTCTTAGTGATACGAGAATGCGCCTAGACCGAGTACCCCATCTGGGCCAGCAGCAGCCCCCAAGCCCAGAGGGGGTCCTGGGCACAGGCCAGCGTGCTCCCGCTGCTGAGCCGCGCTCTCCATCTGCTGCCCAGGGGGCGAGTCTCACCATGCTCTGTCCGGCTGTCACGGGCTCCCCCCCCCCCGCCGGCTCCATGTTGTGTGACAAGTCCCCGGGTGAGTGTGAGGCCCAGGGGTGGCAGGTGTGCCCAGGTCTAGCCTTCGTCGCGGTCCTGAGGCTGGGGAAGGTGGGACAGCACCGGGCCCGGTGCGGTCAGGCTGGGCTCCCTGTAGGCCCCAGGAAGCCTTCCGGGGGTCCGTGGCATGCATGGTCTGTGGCGGCCGTCACTATCGTCTGCCTCAGTCTTCACGAGTCCTCCTCCGTGTCAGGAAGGGGGTGGAGGAGGGGGCTGCCTAACCTTAACGCCACACATCGGCAAAGGCCTTGCGTCTGTCCATCTGCGTGGGAATACCATTCAACTGCATCCCTGTCCACCCTGCCCCTGGGGGCCCAGCAGGAACTGCCTGAGGGGCCCAGCCAGCCTCAGCTGCTCCAGGAGCAAGACAGAGATGTGTTTGAATCGTATGCATATGTGCATAGTGTGTGCATGTACATGTGTGCAGTGTGTGCATGCATGTGTGTGTGTGGACTGCAAATGGACGGAAGAGGTAGGAAATCCATGGAATCCTAGGACCTTGCAGTCCAGGCCTGAGGAGGAGAGAATCAGGATGCACTAAACTCACCAAGGGGCATGTGCTGTGTGCGGGGGTCACAGCGAGCACCCTCGGGTTAGCAGCCCTCCCCCGGGGCCTCTGGGGGCCCTGCACCCGTGCACATGTGGCTGCTTGGTGAGTATGCCTTGGGACTCTCAGAGCCCAGGCAGCGCTCAAGCCCCGTGGACTCCACCTGCCCACGGTTCCCTGGGCTGGCAAATGGCCAGGCTGGAGCTGCCTGAGGAGGGCGGCGTCCAGCCCTAGAACCCACCCGCCTGCGGGGGTTTCCTTTCCTTTCCAGTGCTGCGCGCCTGGCCCTGGGCAGCTTCTGCGGAGATGGCGGCGGGAGCCTTCTCCTCCTAGCCCTTCTGATCATTTCAGGGCCCAGAAGGGGCTCAGAGCAAGGCAGAGCTTCACTGCAAAGATCATGCAGCCCCAAGAGACAAAAATGCCCAGGTCTCCCTGCCCCCACCAGGCACAGCCTTTGGAAATGTCATCACATAGCCACTAGCAGCCATCCTTATTAGCTAAACTCCACAGACCAGAAGCAGAGGTAGCCCCCAACCCGCCTTCCCCACCCCGCAGCAATGGCCTTCAAAGCAGCCTTCCCTCCCTGGATCCTTCTGGAAAGCACAGTGTCCCTGAAAGCAGCAGTCAGCTGATGACCCGCCTTCCAGGCAGCGAGCAGGACGAGCAGGCCGTGAGCTGAGAGCTGGCCTCTCCCTGAGGCCGGAGCTGTGGAGCGGGCCTGGCGGCCTGGGCTGCCAGACCCAAGATACTGACCTTCTCAAGAACTGACCTGGTGGAGACGCAAACCCACTCCGCCCTCTGGAGCCCTCCCTGTGAGGCCCTATCCTCCCCACAGCCAGGAAGGCCGGCCGCCCACCCCAGTGAAGCCCACCAGGCAAGGCCAGGGCAGCCCAGCCTCCAGCCCCCGCCCCTGCAGGGGGGCCACGGGGCAGGGGCGCTGGGCAGGGGTGCTGGGCAGGCCTCGGGCCAGCGGGCACAAGCCTGCGTGTGCTAGAACCAGATGAACGCCAACTGTAGGAGACAGACAGAGGGATTCCGAGGGAAGTCGGGCTGGGAGTCACGGATATGCTCACAGACTTACAAAACACTCCGAAAGCTCGAAATACAAAGCAAATTGAAACCACCCAACTTGTGTGGTGACCTCACCCTAGGGCTGTCCCAATGGCCCCGAAGCCCAGGTGTGTGTGTGGGGGGGCACTGACATGCTCCCTGCGAGCCCTGGGCCTGGTCCCCAGCTGTCGCCCGCGGCAGCCTGAGCGGCAGCCCCCGAGCACGTGGCATTAGTGCTCCTTATTCTGAAAAGTTTTATTCCAGCAAAACCGTACTATAGATCACATAGGCATGCTTAAAAACAGCATTCTACATATGTAAAACCAGT